AGTACATATTCAGCACAATGAAATAGTTTTATAACTTTTGCTTTTCAATTAATTTAATTATTTAGTAAAACACATCAACTTTATGTTAATATATGATCAAAAAATATAAATTTTAGAGTTGGTAAAAAAAAAAAAAGGAATCATTGTAAGATTGAGATATAGCACCTGAGAGATGGATTTTCAACTAGGGTTCTTGGAGAAGCTTGAGAGAGAGAGAGTGATTGAGAGATAAGAATTTGTATTTGGATATGGTTTGTGTAATTTTATTAATTATTTTCATTCGAGTTTTTTGAGTGTTTTTAAAACGTCAAAAAATCATTTTGAGTTTTATGTTATAAAATTTTCCTTGTTTTCAAAAATGTATTTTTGAAAATAACATACCAAACACATTTTGTGTTTTAAAAAATTGAAATGGTCTCAAACAACAAACCAAATGAACTCTAAATGACTGCAATTCCTAGAAAAAAGTTAATGAACAAGTTATGGAAAAACTTCTTGGAGAGGGACTAATTCGTAATTCACATATTGTATCTAGGACCTTTCTTTTGATAAAACAAACAAGAGCTTTAGCACTCAATAAGTAAAGTCTGCAGATAAACATTCAGATTTTAAATGGAAAAACCGAGCAAAACAAAGGCAGATCATACCAGAACGACTCTTCGTCTCTTCTTGAACTTTATCAATTACCTAGAAATCAGGAAAATAATAAATTCAATAAGTCAGTGTTGCTCAATCATCTAGACAAAAGATAAAAAAAAAAAACATAATAATTCAAGCGAGTTTAGTTAATTTATTACAATATCAGATCTCAGAATAAGGTGACAGAATAATAAAAAAGACCACCGTAAAACTATGAAAGAGACGCTAAAGTATGCCATCGTCAAGCATTTTCAAAAGTTCAATGGATTTCCAAAACTTTGTAGGAACATTATGCATTCCAATTAAAATTTTCAGCACAAAAACCTGAGAAATTATTCATTAATTCAAGCATTGACAACGTCAGTAAATCAGTGCGTTACAACTATACTTCAACAAAACAAAGTTGATAAAGCCAATTTGTTTCTGACTTCTGGAGCAATAAATACTAGCAAAGCTTAGTCTGTGAATGTATCTCATTATTAAGCAAGCATCTCAACCAAAAAGCTCTATGACCTTTCTATATCGAACACCACGAGATGTTCAAGATGATGAAATAATCCCAGTATCACTAGTGTGAAATCAAGTTGTTAATGAAGATACTAACATATTTACTACTCACTAAATAAAGTCCACTGCTCCCCCCCTCCCCCCGGCACCCCCAACCAAAAAATAAAAAAAGGGAAAAAAAAAATGAGGCAGAAAGAAATAATTCTTGCGAGAAGAGTCAATTCCCATTGGCAACAGTATGGATTGTTTAAATAAATGCAGCCTGCTTTCAAAATGTGAAGACACCTAAATTTATATCTGCATGATTTCAGGTGGAACAACATTTCTGTGTACCAGCAACAAATCCAATTATGTTTGAGATGTCGTGTTTGGATAGAGTTAACAAGGTAAGATAATCAACTGCTGCCACTTACCAGGGGTTCCCATTTAAAGCAACAACACTTGAACAAAGCTACCTATGAACTGTCTTTCAAAATGTGAAGACACCTAAATTTATATCTGCATGATTTCAGGTGGAACAACATTTCTGTGTACCAGCAACAAATCCAATTATGTTTGAGATGTCGTGTTTGGATAGAGTTAACAAGGTAAGATAATCAACTGCTGCCACTTACCAGGGGTTCCCATTTAAAGCAACAACACTTGAACAAAGCTACCTATGAACTGAGGCTATGACCATAAATTGACAGAAAGTATAATGGAGAGTTCACCAAAGAACTCAAACTACAGCAATTTATTGACAATGTATATACATTCATCTTTATACAAAAATACATTGCATAAAATAATTTAAAGTATAAACCTCACACAAAGTCACTCTTCAAATCATGGTATATTGAGTATTACTGGGGGCAAAAGGAGAAGTAAAGGACACAAGCTTATTTGACAAAATCCTAAATCTAATTTTCAAGAGTGGAAAATAAGCTAACAAATTTAAGTAAATTACTTGCCAAAAACCAGATGGGACAAGTATAACATAAAGCATAACGTGCAGATGAAAAGATGTTCTACAGCATACCTCGTCTGGAACTCGAAGATACTTAATCGTATTTCCCCTGATGTAGCACTCTGGCATCCGCCAAAACCTATCTCCATCCTATATTATAAAACAATAAAGAAGTATAATAAATTCAATCAACAGAAAAGAAGAAGGGGAAAAACAATATCAAGGCATCAAAATATTATATTCAAGTGAAAAGATAAAGAACCTTGGAGGTACATATGACTTCACGGAGATGAATGTTCATCCAAGTATCACAATTAACCAAATGCCCATTGTATGTTTCCCCATTTTTCAGTTCCACCAACTGTCAAAAATGACACGAACCACCACAAGCATCAATTTTAACTAAAGTTCTTTATTTTTCATAATTACTGTTCAAGAAAATCTGAATATAGCAATCAATTTCCCAATCTTCTAAATTCGAAAGGTTTAGTATAATTCATACCATAGGGTGGCCCTGGGCTGTCTTGAGCAGAGAAAGTGGAAGCTGCAATGCAAAACCCAAAACCAAACCAAGCAAATAATACGAACAATTGCTTAACAGATTCAAATTTCACAGCCAAAACAAACCTATAACACCGAATATTCAGTAAATACCGACTTACCATTTTTAAATTCTAGTGCGCAGAAGAAACCTGCATTCAGAAAAAATAAAAATAAAAAATAAATCATATTAACAGTGCAAAATTAGGGTGAAAACGTAGATTATTTTATTAAACCCTAAAAGCGAAAAGAAATTAGGAGATACCGAGTCAGAGAGAGCTATGAATGGAGAACGAAACTGGTTTTGATCTCTGCTCACAGCGCCGATAGGTAAGTCTCTCCCACCCAATAATGAACTGGAAGGCGTTATTTTGAATTTTAAGAAAATTGCAGTGGAGGACCCAACTTATATCTAGGTTGAACCTATTATTTCTCGAATTATTTCATTTGTACAAAATGAGGTTATTGAAAGGTGTCATCCCTCTCACAATGCATACGGGCTCCACGTGAATTTAAAAATGTCAAACATGTGGTCCCCACCCTTGTTGTGAGTAGTAAGAAAAGATTCGGTAAAAAAAATTTGGTACGTGTAGCTTGATCTTCTAAATTTGTAGTGTTTAGATATGTGACGAAGATTTTTGTCAAAAAAAAAATTATTATCCTTTAGTTATAATTATGAAAGATATTTAATAAAAATTCGCATCACACGTCATCGTATCAATTTCCTAATTCGTCGTGTGGTGGAAAAGTATGAATGGAAATAAGACTCAAGACACCTTGTTCCCATTTTGTTGATGATTTTCAGGTGATGACGTAGAACTTCATTAATTATTTTAATATTAAAATCACGTAAATAAAAAAATAATATTCAATGCAAGCTCGAGTAAGAACTCTGTTGTCTAATTCCCCAATGGACAGGGTGGGATCGGAATATTTTGATGTCTTTAAGGATAAGGTAGAGAGGGAGAGGTATGAGTAGTAGGGTTGATGCGAGTGGGAGGTTATTTGAGTTTTTCTTTTATCAATTTTATTGTTTTAGGAATGGATCGAATCATTATTGGCCTATATAAATGTGTAATTTGCACGATAAAGAGACATGGGCATAGTTAGAACTTTACAAACTAATTTGATAGTGTTTTTAAGTATTTATTCTTACTATAAAATTTAGGAAAAATTGCAATCAAGGTATCAAATTTGTCATTTTTTAGCAAACTTTGGCTAAATCTTTTATTTGTGCCACCATGAGTACCAAATCTTTAAAAAATTTGCAACTCAAGTTCAAAATGACGATTTTCGTTAGTTTTACTAGCAAAATCGTAAATTGACTCCCAAAATAATTTTTTTTTATTATTCTCCCCAAATAAGGAGAGGCATTTTGGATAAAATTATTTTCCCTATTAAATCAAAAATAAATAAATAAAGCCACAACCCATTCCCATTTCCTTCTTGGTGGAGTGGTTTTGATTTTGGGGAAGAAGGAGATGTTAATGGGTTGTGACTTTATTTTTTTTAATTTTTGATTTAATAGGGAAAATGTGTGTTTATCCAAAATGTCCCAACTTTATTTGGGGAAAATAATAAAGTGTTTTTTTTTTTTGGTAGCCAAACTAACGGAAATCGTCATTTTGGACTTGAGTTACAAATTTTTTAAAGATTTGGTATTCACAATGGTACAAATGAAATGTTTGAACAAAGTCTGTTAATAAACGAAAAATTTGGTACTGTGACTGTAATTTTCCCTAAAATTTATGAATAATAAGTAAATATTAAGTTATGAGTTATATAAAATGTATAGATAAAAAATATATTTGATCAATTGAAATGAAAATTCAAACTTAATCAAACCTGCACAATTTACCAGATAATCGAGGATGAGTCCACAACGACTAAGATAAAATGTTACATATAAATTAAAATGGTCAAATTGGATCATGACAAGTTGACATAAACCTCAGGTGTCTTTTTTTCTAATATTGGACATTTCTATTTCCACGTACTTTGACAATATGATCCCTTATTTCACCTTCTTATACTGTCCACTTCCTTCAAAGACTTTGACAATTAGACTCCGTGAGCAGCCCATCGGTGATTTCTAACAAGTAAATATAAATTCAAACAAGGCACGTGAAGGTGTCGTGGTGTAGTTGGTTATCACGTCAGTCTAACACACTGAAGGTCTCCGGTTCGAGTCCGGGCGATGCCATCATTTTTTTATTTTTTTCTCTCCTTTTTTGTCAACTGCCATTCTATGAATTACCATTAATTTACTGGGCCACAAGGGGGCTAGAGCTGGGCTAACTCAAGATGGATTTGGGACTTTGGCTGAACCCACAGATTTGTCCTAATTTTACTCTCCTTTTTTGGGGAAATACATAGAAATGACCCAAGCAAAGGCGCCATTTTTCCAAAATAATCTTTGGCTAATTTTGATACCCAAAATACTCCCTTTATAATATTACATAATAAGTTAATAAAATATAGAAATCTTTCATTTTGGTCCTTAAAAAATTAAATACTGCTTGAATTTCAAAAGATTGCCAATTTATTTGATTTATTTTTTCGCTCTAAGTAGCACTTCATTTATTGGTATCAGAGTCATAGAGATCATGGAAATTAAAATAAGAAAAATAGATAATTATTGACATTTAGAAGAAGAAAGATGTACCTATCAAAAAAAAAAAAAAGGAGAATAAAGAGGTAGTTATATATTTTTAAAACCTATTCACAATAAGTTAAAAATAATGATACTAACAATAATTAAATATCTACCTAAAGAAATAAATGAACAAATATTATAAAAATTAGTAATAGAAAATAAAAGATATATATATATATATATATATATATATCTAACTACAAATTAAAAGAGGCAATGGAGTGGTACTGTTCACAAGCCACAATTCATTGGCTGGCTCATAAGCTAGATTTTACCACTACACCACGAGACAAAATTTTGAGTGGCTCATTGTTGATCGGTTGAGCCATTCCTATAATGGGTGGGAGGTGTCATTAATAGCAATTTTCAATTTTACCCTTCAATCCTACTTTACACTAATTCACAAATTGAGGGCTTTATTTAGAAGTTGAGGGCTTAATGGTCTTTGCATATGAAAAATATCTCTAGCTATTGCAGTCTGCTAACCTTCAGTTTCTCTGTCGATTGTAGAAAAGAGGCCAAAAAAAAGGGAGAATCCAATCGATGACTACAACGCCGAGTCTTCATCTTCTATCAGTGACTACAATGCTAAGTCTTCATCTTCTTGCGATTTGCTGTGTTTCTTCATCTTGCTGCAATTTGTTGCACACTCTTGTATTTATACCCTAAAATCGTAAGGTATGTCGATTCTAGATTTGCTTCAGTTTAGGGTTTTTTCTTCTTTTGAAATAATTGTAGTCCCTTTCGATTTCTTGTTATTTTGCCTTCAAGTCTTAGATATTTTCAACTAAATATTCTTTTCCTTCTTTGTGTGCGTACAATTTTATTTTTTTAGTGGGTGGAATCTCCCAAAAACTAGAAAATTCGCACCAAAATAGGAAATTGGCAAGCTGAGGTATGTGGATTTAGCATTTGCTTCAGTTTAAGGTTATTTCTTGCTTCATTTTTAACTTCTTCTTTTTTTCGAAATATTTTCGGTAGCCTCGTGTGCACACTACAAATATGCATATAAATTCATAATTTGGAACTACATGCACAAAGAAAATTTTTTAACACTTAGAAAAACACGCTTACATCTCAAAGTTGTCCAAATTGCTTGCAAAGATCCGTGGCCTCACTAATAATTCTCAAATTGATAAAATTAATTTTATGAAATACCGCAATCTGTATGAAACAGCTCAAAATTATGAAATTGTTCTATAAGGAGACAAAGATATGTGCAAATTAAAATTTTAAAAATAGAGATTTACAAAGGGTTCATAAAAAGTTTTAATTTCTTGTAATAAATTGCAGTTTTTTTTCCCAAATACAGAGAAATATGTTTCATTACTCATCTACTTGTAATAAATTGCAGTTTTTTTTTCCAAATACAGAGAAATATGTTTCATTACTCATTGAAGATGATGACGCTGAAGTTGTAGAGAAAAGAAATAAGGATAATCTAATTAGCGTTGCATCAAGTGAAAAGGATTTGGAACGTACCCCTTTTTATTTTTTGGTTTACTTACCGGACCAAGTTTAAGAAGAGGAAATTTATAGGACCGGAGATTGCTATTAAGGTCATTCTAAAAGCGAGGTTTGGATTTTTCTCCCTTCCTTTTCAAATTTTGCTTATAGTTTAGTGTTATTGAATTTAGTAATTATTCTATACATGGCTCAGCTTAAAAGAAAGAAATTTTTTACTAATTAATTGGGATCATTCTGTTTGTGGAATAGTTAGTGGTGGCATCATTAGGTATTGTCGTTTCTCTTTTCCGATTCCTGGTTTTTATGTTTTATTGATTAAGGGACCTCGGGTATAACATTATAATGTAGAGAATATTAGCCTTTTATTGTCTTTTATATTGGCAAGAAATTCTAATGGTTAAGTATTATTATTGAGTATTTTGACACCTAAACCACTCATTATTCTCGTGTTGAAATCTTGTAAATTGACTAAAGAAAATCTGGGAAGTAAGCCTCAAGACAATTTACCCATTCAATATTAGAACACTGCATTTGGGAGCTGAAAAATAATTGAAAACTATGAGCCCATTTCCACGTAGCAAATACAATTGCGGATTTGAATTTGTCGTTTGTTTTGTTGTACCATAGTTCTTCAACATCAATTGATAATCTCTTACAATGTAATTTTTTTTTTTTTTTTGGTTGTGTCAGGAACTCTTTTTGCTTACTATATTCATAAGTTGCATGCTATGCTTGTTTGGTAGTACTTATAAGCTTCGGGTCCGATGAAATGTGTGAATAATAAGTGGTTAGTAAATTGTATGTTCTGTCCTACGAAATGTTTAGATAATAGCATTTTTTTTTGGCTTAGATTATAATTTACTCTTCGTCGAGATCATCTTAGGTTACGAACAAAATTGAATGACCATAAGACATGTATATACCCAAAAAATAGAAAAAGGATTGCAAATAAAAATGTGTCGACTTTCGTCTATTAATGTGCAACAATGTGAGGGAGACAGAGAGAGAAAGATCTTGCCTTTGTATTATACTAATTGTCTTTAGGCACAAAAATGTGCCACAATGAGAAAAAATAATTTAATATACCAATTAAATTATTTAACGTGTTTGTTTATTCGTTTCTACGTATGTCAAAATTCTTTTGAACTTTTTCTATAATATCAAACTATGTTTATTTATATCGAATAGACAGAGGAAATGTATGTTTTGAGTATAGGTATAAAAATGGCTTCGATGTCTAAGAAAAATAAAAGACGAAGAGAAGTGTACAATGACAGTGCGAAATTGGATATTGACATACAGACGCCGAAGAGAAAGTCTCTACGTTTTGTCCAGCTGGAAGGTATCTACATCTAACTACGAGAAGAAACATATTTGTAATATATTCTGGATGTTATTTTTGCCTTCTCTTATGACTTGTGCCTATTTTTCTATTCATGTGGAGTTTTTTTTTTCTTTTTAACTTTTTTATTTTCATAACTAAGCATATAAACTATTATACTTCAATACTACATTTATAATATTTGTTCTATATACTTCATTCTGACAAAAAAAAGGGATATTTTGAATGAAAGTGTTTTTTCTCTTTTCTTTCTTTATTTTTAAGGTTAGCTTCTTTATAAAAAATTGTACCATATGACATTTAACATTTAAAATTGTAGATTTTTGCTAGAGATTTTACTTTTTTTTCTACACAAGTTTCATACAATATTGATATATTATTTTTTCTATTCCATGTGGCTTTAACATTCGAAATGGTTTTGCAAAATTAAAATTTCGCAGCTGCTGGTGTCACCGGTTCAGATTCAATTTCTCTCTTTCCTAATTCTGAAATTGAAGACAATCAAGTGGATAATAAGATATTTCACTTATTTGTATTAATTACATATTGTTTTTAGCAGTGAAAAGATCATGTAGTCCTTAGATAGTTGAATATGATTACTTTGTCATGTTTGATTTGTGTTATGTATAATTATATAGGGAATGTTTTCATATTTAGTAGTCTTCGTTGTAACGAAGTTTGTAACATTGATGTTGGACGAAATAAGTTTATTTGATATATTTGTTTTGTTAAAAATTGAATTTATAACCATGTTTTAAATTTTTTTAAAGGGATGTGTCTTTTTTAGATTCTAATGTGGTTTCCGTGATAGGTAGCTGTTTTGAGACTTATACCCATCAGCTTCGTGTTCATTCAGAGCTAATGCCATCAATATTTACAGTAAATGAAGGTTCGTTTTCGATACCAAACAAATCACATGTATTACCTTGCCCTGTGCTATGTGAATATTGTGGGGCTCTAAAATTTAAAGATGAATCGAAAGGTTTTTGTTGTTGTGATGGAGCTGTTAGATTGAAAGTGAATGATACCCCAGATGAATTACATCATTTATTTACATCAAATTCTGCTGAATCCATTGAATTTAAAACTTACGTACGAACTTACAATAGCAATTTCTCATTCACTTCATTTGGTGTGCATTATGAAAAAGATTTGTGCAAAAGAAACAAAGGAATCTATACCTTTAGAATTCAAGGTCAAATATATCATTTTATAAATGTCATTCTTGTACAAAACGGTCGCCCTTCTTATATGCAGCTCTATTTTTTTTACACTGAAAATGAAATAGAGCATCGACTACAACTTTCTGAAAAGTTAACAAAATGTATACTTTCAAAGCTTGTCAAAGTGATGGAATTGAATCCATACGCAATTTTTTTTCGAACTTTAACAAATATTCCAAATTTGAAATCTCATAGTCTTAAAATTAGATCTGATTGTGGATTAGATCAAAGAGTATATAACACACCATGTGCATCTCAAGTAGCTACTATTTGGGTTGATGATGATTCTACTACTAATGAACGAGTGCGTGATATAACTGTTTCTTGCAATTCTGGAGAAAAATATCAAGTACATTATTATTCTGGTTGTTATGATCCTCTTCAATACCCTTTACTGTTTCCTTTTGGCGAAACTGGTTGGCACCAAGGTATTGTTAGAATTGACAAACACAGAAGACAACAAACATGTGCAAATGAAAATTTATTTGACATTCATCAATTAAATTCTGCGGCAGAAATTTTTGCAGTGGAAAATACAGGTGAATAATTTATTTATGCTTAGTACATTTATTTTTAAAATGTTTAAAATTCCATATTGTAACACATTTTCTTGTTCTATGCTTTTTCCAGTTGTGCAAAAGAAAACAACAAGAGCTCAGGTATCATGTAAAGAATACTATTCCTACAAATTACAGGTTAGACCTTCACATAAGTCAATTTTACTTCATGCTGGACGTTTGTTACAACAATATGTTGTAGATATGTATGTGAAGATTGAAACATCTAGATTATATTATTTTCGTAACAATCAAAATGAAATACGCGCTGAGCTTTACCAAGGGATTATAGATTGTGTTAAGTTCGATGAAACTCGAGCAGCTATGACTGGTAAAAGAATTATTCTGCCGTCATCTTTTACTGGTGGTCCAAGGGACATGAACAAAAGATATATGGATGGAATGGCATTAGTTCAAAAATTTGGTAAACCAGATATTTTCTTAACTATTACTTGTAATCCAAATTGGCCTGAAATAAAAGACCAATTAAGGTATAATGATGAATCACAAAATAGACCTGATCTTTTAACTCGAATTTTTAGAGCTAAGTTAGAAGAACTAAAAATTGATATATTCAAAAATAAAATTTTTGGTTCTGCAGCTGCATATATATATGTCATAGAATTCCAAAAAAGAGGTTTACCACATGCTCATTTTTTAATCATTTTAGATCACGCATCCAAAATCATTGCTTCTGAATCTATAGATAAATTTGTGAGTGCTGAGATTCCAGATAGACAAACTTACCCTCATTTATACTCTGTTGTTGTTTCTCACATGATACATGGTCCTTGTGGTATTTTAAATCCAACAAATGTTTGCATGAATAGAAATAAACAATGCAGAAGCCATTTCCCAAAGGATTATACCCCAGAGACGTTCTTAGGCGAATTTTCATACCCAAAGTATAGACGTTTAAATAATGGGAGGAAACTGAAAGTTAGAAGACAATGGTTAGATAACAGATGGATTGTACCTTACAATCCATATCTCTTGGCTAAATTTAATTGCCATATAAATGTAGAAATTTGTTCAACCATCAAAGCTGTGAAATATTTGTATAAATATGTATACAAGGGACATGATAGAATTGGTTTCTCAGTACATTCTGAAAAACATGTGGTTGATGAGATTAAAAATTTTCAAACAGCTAGATGGATTTCTCCTCCTGAAGCATTATGGAGAATTTTTGGTTTCATTCTTTCAAAAATAAATCCTCCAGTTACCCTTCAATTACACCTCGAAAATAATAATTTCGTTACATACAAAAGTTCTGACAATCTTGAGAAAATTGTAAGTACAGACTTTTTCAAAAAAACTATGTTAACAGAATTTTTCCAGATGAATCTTGTTGACAAAAAAGCTACAACTCTTTTATATAAACAATTTCCAGAATTTTTTGTTTGGGACTCACATTTTAAATGTTGGAGTCCTAGAAAACAAGGTTTTTGTATCGGTAGAGTAGTTGCAGCAAGTCCAAGTGAAGGGGAAAGATATTACTTGCGTCTTTTGTTAAATCATATTAGAGGCGCAATGTCATATCGAGCTTTAAAAATTGTAAATGGTGTTGAAACATCGTCTTTTCGAGAAGCGGCACTTTTACATGGTTTACTTAATGGAGACACTAATTGTGATTTATGTTTGCCGGAAGCTTCAGAGTATCAAATGCCTACTCCATTTCGTCGTCTTTTTGCAACAATTCTAACTCTATGTGCTCCAAATGATCCAAAAAATCTATGGAACAAATTCAAAATTTTTATGATTGAGGATTTCATACGTGCTGGTATGTCGCTGCAAATTTCTGAACTTAAAGCTCTTTTGGAAATTGATGCAATTTTAGAACTTTCTGGTAAATCCATTAATAGCTACGGTTTTGTATCATATAATGTACATCTACATGAAAATGAACACGTCGCTATAGTAATAAATGATGAACTAAGCATTAATGTGTCAGAAATAGATATTATGTGTCCCCATCAACTTAATACTGAACAAAAGACGGCATATAATGCAATTCTAAATAAAGTAGACACTAATGTTAGCGGCATGTTCTTTATTGATGGTCCTGGTGGAACGGGTAAAACCTTTTTATATCGAACATTACTAGGTACTGTGAGGTCAAGACAAATGATTGCTTTAGCAACAGCATCTTCTGGTGTTGCAGTTGGTCTTTTGCCTGGTGGACAAACAGCACATTCTAAATTTAAAATACCTCTAGAAATTTGTAATAACACAATATGTAACATTAGTAAACAGAGTGCTCTTGCAGAACTTTTTCGAATGACAAAACTAATCATATGGGATGAAGCTCCAATGGTGAATCGACATGTAGTTGAAGCATTAGATAAAATGTTAAGAGATGTTAATGATTGTGAATTCCCATTCGGAGGTAAAGTTGTTGTCTTAGGAGGAGATTTTCGTCAAATTCTACCTGTAGTTCAAAGAGGTAATAAAGACGATGTAATAGGAGTAAGTCTTGTTAACTCTTACTTATGGCCTTTATTCACAAAACTAAGATTAAGTGAAAATATGAGAGCGCAATTAGATACATCGTTTTGTAAATATTTACTTGATATTGGAGATGGAACCGCAGAAAAACATTCATGTAATATGGTACAACTTCCGCCTGACATAACTACAGATTTCGAAGAACACATCACTTCTTTACAGTCATTAATAGATATAATTTACCCAAATTTAGATCATTATGTTGACAATCTTCGTTACATGATTAACAGAGTTATTTTAACTCCAAAAAATGAATATGTTGATGAAATCAATAATTTGTTGATTACTCACTTTCTTGGAGACTCTTTCATTTATTTTAGTTTTGACGAAGCTATTGATACAACTGACCAAAGTATGCAGGAAGACTTTTTAAATAGTTTGACTCCGAATGGTGTACCCCCGCATGAACTAATACTAAAACCAAATTGTCCTATCATGTTACTTTGAAACATTAATCCTTCAGAAGGTCTCTGTAATGGAACTAGGCTTCTTTGTAAAAGTTTCTGAAGAAATATTATAGATGCTGAAATTGCAGTTGGAGATTATAAAGGAAAAAAGGTATTTCTTCCTAGGATACCTTTTATTCCACTTCAAAGCGACAAAAATCATTTCCCTTTCAAAAGAACACAATTTCCAGTTCGTCCATGTTTTGCAATGACAATTAATAAATCTCAAGGACAAACACTTGATTTTGTTGGTTTATATCTTCTTGAGCCAATATTTTCCCACGACCAATTATATGTTGCTTTGTCTCATGCCAAAAGTAGCACATGCATTAAAGTTCTCATCAAACCAACAACCCCCCAAAGATTACATATGAAATGTACAAAAAATGTTGTTTACGATGAAATTTTAGCAATGGTAAATACATGACATTATGTTCTCATTTACATTTGCCAATTATCATTACAAAACATATTTTAGCATTGTCATTTTCATTTGGCTGCGGAGCTAACTGAAATTTGAGAGAAAATTATATTCTTCTCTGTAGAATTTGACCACAATAGAGAACCCTGTAAAGTACTCCTTGCTTATTATTTGCTCATTCTTTTTGTTCCATTTTATTTTAAAATTGTGCTTCTTTTGGTCACTACACTTGGTAATCCTTCTACTTGCTCCACAGGAAATTGTTTCCAAACAACGTTAAGAAAATGGATCACATTGACGATATTTTTGGTGAACGTCAAGACAAATATGATCATGAGATGGTATACTTCTTATGCTACAGAGTTCTTTCTAACATCTTTTTTCAAAAACATATATAAATCATCATTGTTTAGTGTGAGTTAATGAACATTGATAATTTTGTTCTTGGCTGTTTAGTTAACTTAGTATTAGGTTCATCCATTGAGATAATACACTTGTTGTACTACCTATTTGTTCATGTATTCATATAGCGTAAGTTATTGAAGCAAGATAAATTTCCTCTTGGCCATTTAATTTACTTGGTAATTCGTCATTTGTTGCTGTCAATGCCTTCATTCACTTTCATGTTAGATTTTTGGTATTTAAAAGGGATGAGACCAATGATGGCTTCATGTACTCATTTTTCACTTTATCTATACATTTCTCTTTTAAAACTTGATCTTTATGAATTTTCCCTGTAATTTACATCCTATACATGTATCATAAATCTTTACTGAATGTGACATTGGATCTATACATTTTTTGTCATAAATTTTTGATCACGCATGGCTTCTTGAAAACCTCGGACCTACTAATCTGAGCACAAACAAAGTGAATCTCAGAAAGGTAAATTAAGGGAAAAAAAAAAGTAACATGAACAGTTTATCATTTAAGGCTGTGTGATCTCAATGGAAATCAAGTGGTTCACATTCTATCAAATACACAAAACTTGAATACTGAATTTTTTGTTTTGTAGTTCAGTCTCACTCATGATATTTATATAAGTAGTCTTGCATTTGGACTTGTCAGACTCTCCTTGCTTATCTGCCCTTGTTTTCAATTAGGTGAGAAGTCAAACATAGTAAATTTTGGTTTTAACTTTCAACTCATATTACTTTCTGTAAGCTACATCAAAGAATGATTGTACTTTTGTTTCACAATATATTCCTGCTAAAAGCCTGCATCTGACGGAACTATGGAGCAAGTCGAAAAAAGATCTGTTTGACTCTTTGAGCATCATAACATATATTATCCTAGCCAAATTATGTTTTTGAGTTTTCCCATTATTTTCGGGAATTCTATCTGTTCATAGGTTTTTTTTTTTTTTTTAAAGCAAAACATATACATCCTTCAAGTCATCATGAGCATTGTTATCTTTTTGGGGTTTGACCTTGCTCTCTATTGGATGTGAATATCTTGTGCTCATTGCTTTAACATTGTTAGAAAAATGAAGATAGGGGCCACTTGCCCACATACAGGTTCTACAAGGTGTTGTCAAGTATAAATTGAATACTTTACCTATAAAACAAAGAAACAGCATGAAAAACTATATTTCTGAAGTTATAGTTGAGGTAATTTAATCACACTATTTTAAGGAAAATTTTGTTCGCATATGCTTCCAGCAGCATCTTAGTTCAAGAGCGTGACTAATCTCACCGTTTCATTTAATGACCTTAGCTTTCAAGCAACGAGATCTCTTTCTGGCAAGAGAAACTGTATCTCAACAAAGTAAATATTATATTAGTTCAGGTTATACTATCTAATTGTTGAAATTTGAATCATGCTCACCAATAATAACAGCAGTTTTGATTTCTATACACGTGGTTCATGTTTCAAAAGAACCCCGCTTCCTGGGCTTTTCCTTATATGCCATCTTGCTTATGCTTCTGTTCCTTCATGTGCCCATCTTGAAGCATGAGTGGCCACATATTTATTCTTGTTCAGGGGTTTGATAGTTTAATGATTATCCTCTGTTATGTTCTGTTTGATTAATAATTGTTTGTTAAACTATAAAGTATTTTTTTTATAATCTAAATTGGTCAGATGTAAAACTGAAAAATAATGTATGTGTTGGTTTTAAATGTAGGTTTATGTATGCTTAAACTTGAATTCAACAAAGATGATTGGTTGCGATGAAATAGAAGAAGATCAATTCTTGGACAGCCATGATGAGATCACTTCTATGTCCAATGTGGACACTAATACAAATTCTGCAAGTAATACACACATGCTTTAATTGTATATGTAAGTTATCCCCCAATTGAGGTTAGATATAATTTTTTTGTTTGACTAAATAAGGCACAACCATCAAATAGTATACACAATGGAACAACCTGTGCTAACAATCGTCAATGGTGAACTGACATTGTGGATGTCCTGTGATAACATGTGCTTAAATTATTGATAGCAAACTGGATATTCTTGTACTTTCATGGTTAGGCTGCTATATGCTTTAATGGATTTAAGACTTATGGACCCTGAAATTCGCTCTCCTGAACTTTGGATGGAGTTTTTTTACACATGGATAAGATATAATTACCAAGGCCAGTTTACAAATTTGCAACTGTAATGTCTATAGATTTGAAGTAACAGTTTACTCAAGACATTTGTAAGTTTTCTCATAATTGAGCTTTGGAACCGATAGTCTACAATTATGAAATCCTTTTTTCTCGCTCCATGGTATTTTTTTTTTGACTCTGGAATAAGTCCTCTCAACTTCAATACATAAATGCTAAGTCTCAAAATTTTTAATATTTGCTTTTTGTACCTGCCTTTCAATCTTCATCTTTTGTTATTTTTTCCTTTTTTACTTGTAATGAATGGTATTACTATACTATTTTTCCATGAAATATATTAAAAACTACACAGAATTTTATTATTATCGGAGTACTGACAACAACGAATTCCAACTACATATTTTTGGAATTTTAAGTTTCTAGAATGCACGCATATCTTAGAACCAAGCCATTTTTTGCTTTAACTTAATATAATCAGTGATGATTTTATCTGTGTTGCTCTGTGAATTGTTGTTACAAGTTTCTAGAAATTTGCTTCTTTATCGTTCAAGTTAGTTTTGATCTTTTCTTCAATTGATGTAAATAATGGCTTCATCGAATTTAACCGCCGAGAAATTGAAATAAAATAAAATAGAGGAATCCCCCCATGTTAAAGTAAATGTGGGAAAGTACTATATAATATTGATGCAATAACTTTATTTGAGTGTTAATGTCAATGTGGTATCTTATTAATTTTAGCTTATGTTTGTCCTTTACTGATCATGTCGTTCACTAATTTCCAGGTTTTCGGTAAAGCTTCGCCACAATGTCTCAAGAAGGGGTTTATAGTGTTCAGCACTGGCTAATCGTGTGGATGAGGATAATGAGCTACATAATATAGAAGACGAGAGTGGTAGATATCCTATCAAGGAGACTGGATTACATGATGGAAGTAAAGATACTAATTGTGGCCATGATCAACTTGAAGAGACTGTGTAGAACTTAGTTTCACAATGAATATTTAAAGTATCAGTTTGTGGATATAAAGAAAGATACTTGATTCTGGCGAGCCTGGAAAACGAAATAAAGCTGTGGAGCTAGACCATTTGGCGTCCAATAATGATGTCAGAGAGCTTCATGAAAAATTAGAATCTTCGAAAAGAGAACTTCTAGAGGAAAGATAAACTCAGGGTGTTGTAGAGAAACCTCTAAAACATCTTGGAGCAGCACACTCAGAGGCATATACAAATGTTCAAGAGCTTTCTACCTAAGTTGCTGAAGGTTGTATTATTTTTTGTTGATTTCCATGTCTATTGATAGGATTTGGTAACATATTTTCAAATTAGATCCATTTATGATTCTTGGTGATGGTAATTGATGTATTAATTAAATGTGGCCTTAGGATAGAGTTCTTGGGGATAAGAGATTTGTTAACTCTACTTTGTTATTCTACCACTATCGTAATAAACTGGTTTAATGGTTTCTTTGGGTAGCTCAACAGAAGATGGACCACGAAAGAAAAGATCGTGATAAGAAGTGTTTTGAGCTTCATACCAAGTTTAGAAGACCTCAAAAAAGAGCAAAGGCACATGTTCAAGAGGTGCAAAAGGTTTTTTTTTTTCCCTTTTCCTTGTGTCACTTTTCATTTATATCACTACCTAACATTTTCATATTGCTTCCTCTATTCCATTAATTAATTCTGTCTTTTGGCGGGATTTTTTGCGCTAGATTTCTAATATCATTATATGCTGCTCATCTTATCAATGCATAAAACACTTATTTATTGTGTTTTTAGATTTCTAATATCATTATATGCTGCTCATCTTATCAATGCATAAAACACTTATTTATTGTGTTTTTACATACATGTTTCACAAAAAGGTCTTTTTTAATATATATATATTAGCTTCACTAAACCACTAATTTCAGTAAGACAAACCTGGCCCCTGCAAAAAATCACTGGCAACCCACTTTCCACAAACTTTCCCTGAAAACCTTTGCTTATGACCGTAACCAAAGTTCTTGCCTGCCACTAAAAATTTTCCAAGCTGTATTCAAAATAGAAATATATCTTCCTAACAACTCATTCTAAAACTTTCATCAGTT